ATCAAATAGTAATATCTAACTAAAAAGAATAAAATCTTGAAATTCAGAGCAATTTACGTAAATAATATATATATATATATATATATATATATATATATATATATATATATATATATTTAAATGTATATTTAAATGTATATTTAAATGTATATTTAAATTTATATATATTTTTATTTTTTTTTACATATATTTTTATTTTTTTTCTTATAAATATTTATATATTATTTTTTTTTATTTTTTTATTTTAGTTAGTGAAGTACTTTATGTATATATTAGTTTATTTATATTCTTAATAATAGTGATATTATATTTATAAAATATTAAAATCGAAGAATTTATTAGAAATGTGACAAATCCATTAAAATAAATTAGTTTCAAAATGGAAAGAATAATGTAAAATGCATTTAATTAGAAATAATTACAAAAAATAAGAACTGATGAAATAATTATAAAAGAAGAAAGCGAAATTCGTGAATTAGCTACTTAGTTTAATAATACATTTAAGAAATTGTCTGAAAAAAATATTTTCTAAAATAGCTTTTTCACAGTGCTTGATAAAGCATATATTAAATCAAAAGAAATTCTTGTGAAACCTCCTAAAGATAATATTACAGATGAAGTTAAATAAATAGTTAAAAAATACTTAGAAATGTAAGAAAATGAAGATAATTCAGATTATGATATATAAAATAATGATAGTTAAGAAAAATAAAAAAGTAACATCCGTAATGAAAAAAAAAATAATTTTAGTGCTAATAAATAATAATAATGAAAAAAACTTTATATATAAAAAATATTTTAGATAATATTTTTTCTTTATAAAAAAAAATATAAATATCCATTTTAATTGTTATAAAATCCTTACAAAAAAATTAACAATTTTAAATAAAAAAGAAAAGTAAAATTAAAAATTAAAAATAAAATTATTATGATAAATATAATAATATATTCTTCTTCTTTTTTTAAAAAAAAGAAAAATAGATAATGTAATTTACATTGAATTATATCTAAAAGAAATTTAAATTAGTAAATAATTAAAGTAAATTAAATATAAAAAAAAATACAAATATAAAAAAATATGATATATAATATATATTTATAATTATTTATATGTTTATTTATTTACGTATTAAATATAATTTTATTTCAAAATTAAATACTGAAAATATATTTCATTATTAAATATAAAAAAACAAATATGCATATATATATAAATTTATATTTTTTTTAAATTTATCTTTATATTAATACTTTTTTTAAATTAATTTAGTTTAATTAAATATATACAAAAATAAATATAATACTAATCTTTTTTAATATATATATTATTATATATAAATTAAATTCATTAATAATCTTATATTCTTTTGTCTATAGTCGCATTAGCCATAAAATCCTTTATAGTTTCCTCTGAGAGATCTTAATATAATTAAAAAACATCTAATTAAAAAATATCACATTCCTTTGTTAAAATACTACCTAAATTAGGTACAGTTCTTTCCAAATCTCCATGTACAAATTCTTTAATATATGTTCCTGCTGAGGAAAGTAAAAAAGCACTAAATGATTATCTGATAATTTGAAGCTTTTCATTTTATAAATGTATTTTTTCCTAATTAATTAACTTCTTCTATGTAATACTCTAATAGGAGTTTTTTATAGAATCTCCAAGTTTTCTACTGCATTGATCTTTTAAATATCCTCTTCACTAATTTTTTCTTTCACCTAAATAACACAGGCATAGCTCTTAATCTTAAACTACTCACTCTATTTGAGAACATCGAAGCATTTCCTATCTGTATAATGTAATTTTAACACTTTTAAATACTGTTTATTCATATTAATGGCCTTCTAGTATTCTTCTAAATCAACAGGATTTCTCCTTCTGGGATCTTCTACCTCAATCACAAAGGGTCTTCCGTTTCCGAGCATTCTAACATCTATATCTTCTCTTCCTCCTGTTGAAAACTTATAGTTTTTAGCTAAAAAATTGGGAAAAAGGTCATCAGATATTTCCTCTTAAATTGATGTTTCATATAGCTTTAATCCGTCTATAAACCAAGGCGTTTAACTCATATATCTAGAATATTTACAGTAATTTCCCATAATTAAAATGCTTTTGCTTTCGCATTAAACATTTGTCGTGTTTTTTACAGTGTTTTATTTGTAGAGATTTTTATTTAGTTTTATTTCGAAAAATTACTGTCTGGGAAGTTTTTGGATTAATTCTAAATTATATTGAGTATATATTTATTATTAGCTTTTTTATATTTCTTTGTTATTGTTTTTTTGTTGCTTTTTATACTTTTTATCTTCTCGATCAAATACAATATCTGCAAATGGAGCAAAAGTGTACTGCTCATCGTCTATATTTTCTATATTTATATTAATTATGAAGTTACAATCAATAGAAGAGGTCGAATTTACACCAAATAAATCTGATAAAATAGGAGAAAGAACCCATTTGTATACATTTTTTATATCTACATACTAGTCTTTCCAGTTTTTATGCAATTTCTCCTCAAAATAATTGCTTTTATTCTCTAAATTATACGAAATGTACTCTAGCATGTTCAAAAAACGTAAATAGGGGCTTAAAGGAGTTTTAACGAAAAATTTAAATTCCGAAAATTCGAAATCTTAGTCTTTTATTTATTTGTGGATTTTTTTAATATAATCTTCCTAGTCTATTTCTTATAAAATTCCTATACATATAATACATTATTCACCGTTTTTTATATATAAATTAGAATTGTAATCTTCTGTAGGAATTTTTAAATTTTCAAGCATTTTTTAATAGGTTTAAGGCTATCTATATAGAGAAATGTCATTTAGTTTGAAAAAACGGAAAATACATCTGATACAAGTTTTGTTTTCATATAGGAAATGAAAGAGTTTTTACAAAGAAATATCTTAGTATATTTATTCCATATTAAAATATAAATTTATCTTTTTGTTTATTTAATTTTATATATATATTTAAATTTATATTTTATTTTGTATTATGAATATATCTTTTATTTTTATTTATTAAAAAATATATATATATATATTTTTTTTTCTTTTTAAAAATTAAATTTTCGGATATCTAATCTAAATATTATTTAAAAAAAAAAAAAAAAATATATTAAATCATAATTTTTAAAATAATCCATTATGTATATTTATATCGTCGTTTATTTTATCCTAAACATATTTCTGATTTACATATACTTTTCCTTTCTTTTTATTTACTAAAAAGAAACTAATATGTTTTTTCTTTCCTTTTTTTTAGTATATTGAATTTTTTGATATATATATATATATATATATATATATATATATATATATATATATATATAAATTTATATTCTATTTTTAATTTAATTATTTATATTATTTTTAACTCTAATACATTAATTTAATTTTTAAAAAAGTAAAGATTTTTGATATTTTAAATTAATCCGAAAATTATGAATATCTCTTTTTCATATTCTTTCCTATTTTTTATTAAAAAAATATTAAATTTGATATTAGATAACTATTAAAATCAATAGTTATATAAAAAATTCGAAATAAAAAAAACATAATAATTTTCTAATTATTATTAATATTAATATAATAATAATATAAAATACTTTTTATATATAATTAAAGATATTTTATATATCTAATCATCAAAACTCTAAATATTATTAATATTTAATAAAGATGAAAATAAAACTAAAATATTTAATAAAATAATTGAAAAATAAAAGATTTTTATATTTATTGATGATACAGTTATATTGCATTAATTTTAGATATAGAAATATATTAAATTCAATATTTATTATTTAAATTATTTTAGAAATAAAAAAAAAAAATTGCTTTTATAATATATATTTTTTTATAATAATAAAAAGTAAATACTTTAATAATTAAAAAACAAAAAAATATATTTTCTATTTATATTTTATATATATTTATAAATTTCATTTTTATTATTTGTTATTTTATTTATTAAAATTAAAATTTTACAAATTTTTATTTAATTTTAATTTTTTTTTAAAAAAAAAAAAAAATTTAAAATAATTAATGATTGGTAATATAAATAAATAAACCACCACTTTATTATAAAAAAATAAAAAAAAAAATAAAAGAAGAAGATTAATTAAATATAGAAGCCACAATATAATTATAAAATGATTAAACCTATATAAATTTTATAAAATGGTGTAAAGATAATGAAGTTAAATACGAAGGAGTATAAAAACAATATAAAACCTATTAAAAAAATATAAAAAGTTATAATTTCCATCTGCTTTTGGTCCTTTAAGTATTCTGGGAATAGCCGCTGATTAAGATATAGAACCAAATAAAGTCTACTTTATAATAAAGATTAAAATTATCAAATTAAATTTTTTAAAAAAAGGTTATATTGATTGTACCTAATAAAATAATTATTTCTGAAGATAAAGTATATAAAAGTGAACTTAATAGTATTATAGAAAAGTATAAAAAATAAATAATTAAATATTTAAAAATAAATAGATACCCGAAAATGTTTGATGAAGAATAATGTGGAGATTCAGAATTTAATATATTAGCAATTTTTTTAATGTACTAAAAAATTAAAGGAAAGGAATCATTCTGGTATCCATATTTTGAAGTAATTAAAAGGTCATATACACTTTTAGATTGGAAAGAAGATTAAATAGATTAATTAGAAGATAATTGTATAAAACAAGAAGTATATATATATATATATATATATATATATATATATATATATATATATATATATATATATATATATATTTATATTTGATTTTTATTAAAACATATCAAAGTTAAAAGTATTATAAAGAGAAATGGATAAATCTTGGCGAAATATAGAAATAATCATAAATCTTCATCCTGAATTTTTTCCTCATGATAAAAATATAAATTACAAACATTTATTTTATTATTGTTATGAATTATGTATGACAAGAGGGTTTTTTTAAATATATAAATAAAATATTACATTAATTAATTAGATATGGATGGACACTACCTAGTCTTTGCTTAGTACCTTTTGCAGATATGTTTAACCATAGTTGTGAATCAACTACACATTTTATTGTAAATAAAAGATTTGAGAAAGAACCTTAAAAAAAACATGAATAATACAAAATAAAAAAGATAAATTAAATCTTTAAATTTTCTAAGAAGATAAATTAATGGAAAAAGAAAAAACATTTAAGTATAATATTATATTTGTTTTATTTTATTTTTTTAAATAAAGTTTCAATAATAAAAGAATTAGATACATATAATAATATAAAGATTATTTAGATGAAGAAACTAAATAAAATATAAATTTTGAAAATATAAATTGGAAAAAAAATGACGAATTGAAAATTTTAATTGCAAAAATAAATTTAAATAAAATATAATAATAAAAAGTAAAAAATAAACATTATATTATATTATATATAATAATATTAATGAATATAAAAAAAAATTATAATAATATATAATTGTAATGAAAAAATGATTATCTTTTAAAAAAACATTTTTAGAAATATTATTTATAAAAATAAAAAAATATAAATTAAAATATATATATATAATAAAATAAATATATAATTAATATATATTTTTATTTATATGTATATATATATATATATTTACTTTTTATATAAATATATAATTATATTTATAAGAATTTTAATATTTTTGATAATAAAATGTATTCTACAACTGAATCAGAAGATAATGATACATCAGAAGACGATAAAAAAGAACGAAAAAATTAAAACAATTAACTAAAATTTGCTGAAATGAAAAAGTTTCTTAATATTGTTCCAAAATAAATATAATAAAAAAAATATTCTACAAATAAAAATTATTTTGAAGATGTATTGTTTTAAAAAGAAGAAGATGGCTGTATTATCAAACTTAACTAAATAACAATAAAATAAAATAAAAATTAATAAATATAAAATTAAAATCAAGAAGAAGATGATTAGGAATAATAATGGTAAAGTGTTTCAAACTCATCATCATATATATCAGATATTTCTGACGAATCAGGTTTTAGTTGGTTCGATGAAGATGATGAGGATAATTATTTTGTAGTAACTACATAAAAACCGTAAAAATCAAGATATATATATTAATATATATAAAATAAAAAAACAGAGAAAAAAAAGGCTAATAAATTTATAATTGTTACGGTTAAAGAACAAATAAATTTCTATTAATGTGGTATGGATTTTGTTTTAATAAAAATAGATATGATTCATATTCTTTAAGAGTATTTATTTAATTTTTTTATATATAAACATAAAAAGCTTTGGATAAATATGAGATAAGAATAATTAAATAATGATTTATTTGAAAAAATAGTTTTTTAAGAATTTCTAGAAAAAGAAGATTGTAAAGGAGGATTTGTTTGGAAAAAATAAGAAAAAGTTAATTTAGATGACATTACATAAAATTTTAGAATTAAAAAAAATAAAATAAATATAGGTAAATAAAAATATAAGAATATATATATATATATTTTTTTATATATATTATCCATATTTGTATTTATTTTTTTATAAAATTTAGATTTGATTATTTATTTAAGATTATATTTAATGATGCATTATAAAGGACCTGATTTAAAAAGAGTTATGGTAAGTTTACCTGTATCTCCTGTATACGAATGCTTTGTTTTATCTTTTGCTATTAGATTATTAAGTTATTTATTAAGTAGATTTACTACAACAATAAAAGATGATAAAGAACTTTTATAAAATCAAAACTTAAATTATAAATATAGGTTTGCTATTATATATAGATTGAATCAAAAGGAAATTTTATAAGAATAAATATCTTTGATGAATTAGGCTTTAATATTATTAAATTAATTAAAAGAAAATTACATTTTGGACAAAGATATGTTATTAAAGCCAATGTTTAATGAAAAAAATTTAGTTGAAAGTTATTTAAATAGATATAAACTTAAGCCTTACATATTATAAATATATGAAAGTTATGAATATAATTTGTTTTAATTCCCTAAAAAAGAAGTATTCGAATGTTTAAAATGAATATATTAATATAAATATTAAATTATATATATGAGTTTAAGACTAAATTTTTAGAATATAAAATTAATAAAAATTACTAAAAAATTTATTTTAATATAAAATAATAATAAAAATAGTGTTAAAATATATTAGAAATACCTAAATATAGCAACTAATTTTTTTACAAAAAAATAAAAAAAAACAAAAGTTAATATATTATTATTAAAAAAAAAAAACTTAAAAAATAACAAAAATAAATCTCTCAAATATATATAATGTAAAAAAAAAAACATCATAATTTAAAAAAAATATACATAAAAATATTTATAAAAAACACATAAAATAGTGCATATATAATTAAAATTTAAATTAAGAGCATATTAAGGAAAAAAAAAAAAAAAAAACCAAATCCAAAATAATTAAATAAGAAAAAAAAAAAAAAAATTAAAAACAAAAAATATGGATACTTAAGAAAAGTAATTATCAAACAGTTAAGAAGTAATCCAAAAATCCATATAGAAAATATAATAAAAGGCTTTAAGTCCAATTAACAATAAAGAAAATATCCCCGAAAACCTCCATATCCAGCAACAAATTTAAAAATAATTTTGGTGGGGTTCACTACAACCTCCTCATCAATAAGATCAAAATACAAACAATATAAACCGACGAACCATTTCAAGCCTAGAAGGTTTTCCTTTTGATAATATAAAGGAATAAGCTTTCGAAATGTACCTTTTAGATGCCCTTGAAAGAGAACTATAGGACGAAGAAGGTTGTTAAACAAACATCGAGGAAGGCATTGTCCATTAAAAAATATCCGAAATAAAATAACTACTAACCGAAGAGGAATTCATAATTGATAATTTATTAAAAATGAGCCGTTCAATTCGGGACATATCTAAAATTCAGGATTTAATAGAAGCCGTATGTAGTGAAATATACAAACGAAAAACAGACAAAATGTTACGTTTGGATCGTTTATTATGTTGTGATGACTAGCAATAAAAGTAGATAAAATTTCTAGAAAAAAAGCTGAAAACAGTTTCGAATGAACTTAAAAATTATAAAAGCCAAATTGAAATTAAAAATCAAAGACAAGCAGGCAGATATAAAGGAAATCCTTAATAAATAAGCCCTTTTTCAAATGAAGACTAATCATCAGTATATGACTGGGTAGTGGATATTAATTTAGTAACAGAAGTATCATATGAAGGTTGGAAAATTTAACTAAGTCCTTCTTTTTTTTAAGAACATGGTTATGTTTTTAATAAATAAAAAGAATTAATTAATTAAATTGATGATTAAAATTAAAATATAAATAATAATAACATAATATTATAAATAAATTCGTAAAAATAAATTAATAATAATAATAATAATAATAATAATAATAATAATAATAATAATAAATAAATAATACTTCTGAATAAAAAATTAATAATTATAATTAAAATTAATGGGGAGGTGCTCTCGTAGCAGTCGTTGGTTTATACGATAAAGGAAAACTTTTGTTTTGAATAATCTTACACTATCAAATTTACCTTCTGGAAAGAAATTACCACCAAAGGAATTTCTTTTAAACATGTCAACGTCGATAGCGGTACTAATTTAATTCTTGTAGATACTGCAGGTTCTTATTCTCCTGTAATAATAAATAACGAGCTTTCTATCATTGAAAAAGAGGCAACCGAAGTCATTATTACAGACCTTGTTTTCGAAATCGCAGATTATTTTATTTGTGTAGTGAATGATTTCACCTCTTTAGATCAAAGATATTTAGATAAACTATCCAGAAACCTATAGAATTCTCCTAATAAGACTTTCCGTGAAATCATAGTTATACATAATCTTAAAGAAATTGAGAGTTCTGAAATACTAGAGCATATATGGAAAACATAAGTCACATAAATCTATAATTAAGGTTCTGTATAAAAAACTAAAGTGGCAGCAAAAGATCCCATATTAAATTAATTAGTTGAAAAGCATGTAGTATGGTTCAAAACTTAATATACAAGACATATTTGCTTAGCAAATGACGATTCTGAATTAGGAAAACAAGTTAATCCTTGGGTTTTTTCCTTACTTAGATATTGGTTAAAGGCTGTATTTGTACCAGTTTCTAGGTATTACATATATATAGATATATATATAAATATAAAATAGACCTGTTCCTGTAATTGATTAATTAATAAAATTCTCTACTATGTAGCTTTCAAAATATTTCAAAACTGGAGTTTAACTTGAATTAATAGAATCTATGGATCCTTTAATTAAATTTATAAGAACAAAAGAACACTAAGATTAAAAATTCAGAATTCCGTAAATGTAAATTGATAGTAGTGGTATAGTCATGACTAGACCAGATAATTTTGTGCCGAGTATTGATATTTCTGCTAGTGATTAATATTCTATTTGGATGGATATTCCAGGTATGTCAAGGGATGATATAACTATTTATAGGCAGAATGTAATAACTATTGTAAAAGGAACTAAAAAAAACCTTATGATGATGATAGAAAATTGGATAAAAATGAAAGAAAATATGGTGATTTTACACTTACTTTTAAAATACCGGAAATTTATGAAAGAAAATGGACTACATATGAAGTTGAAAATGGAGTTCTTAAGATTATATATGATAAAGATACTGAAGAATAATAAATATGAAAAAAATAGTTTCATTTATATATTAAGAAATAAAAAAAAATAGTTTAAATATAATTAATATATATATATATATATTTTTTTTTCATCATTAATATATTTCAAATTTTACTAAAGAATTATTAAATAATTTTAATAAATAAAATCGATTAATATAATTTATTACTTATAAATTAAATTATTATTTTCAAAAATTAATTTTATAATTAAAATTTTTCTGTAAAAATATTTATTGTTTGTTTTATAAATATTTACAATTTTAACTAAAGGTAATTAGTACAAATTTTTGTAAAGTATTTCGAAATAGAAAATTTTTAAATACAACTAAAAATTTCATATAAAAATATTATTTTGAATAAATTTTTAATATAATTGAAATAAATATATATATTTAATTAT